AGACACCAGGGCCCCAAACATCCATTTAACCCACTACACTGCAATGTTGGCTCAAAACGAATCTTTAGAAAATAAAGTGTTCCTTATATGTAACATTTCCTTTTCTCCATATTTCATTCTAGAGCTCTTGCTCATGTAGAAAGGTTTATGCTGCAAGATTATCAAACCTGGAGGCAGCATGACCTTCTGTTTTGCTCCAGGTATCAGGAAGGCAAGGCAAACCAGGAAAATAGAAGAACCCCCAGTCAGATCAGGATGACAAGCTAAACCTTTGACATGAGATTCTGGGCCTGATAATTAACCTTGCAAAGCTCTTGGTTTCCCATTTGCAAGGGAGGAATTTTCACTCCTTGTTCTCAAACTTTCCAAAGTTCTGATATTTAGCCTAGAGCTTAAGGTCCTTGAGTTTCACATCTGTGTACCAGAGCTCTGTTTCCAGCTCCAGACCCTAACTTCTCACCAACGCAGCCCCTGGAAGGCAGGGATGAATTAAGTGTCTGGGCTCCCAACACCCGGCTCCTGGCTGTGGCCGGCCACTGCAGGCACCTCAGGGGTGAGCCAGAGGATACAAGCTCTTACCTTGTCTCCCTCCCTTTCAAATTAAAAAAAAAAAAAATTAATAATTTTTAGAAAGTTTCTAATGATCTGGAAGTTGTCAATAAAAACTGCGGATTTGGGCCTGGCGGCATGGCCTAGCGGCTAAAGTCCTGGCCTTGAACGCGCCAGGATCCCATATGGGCGCCAGTTCTAATTCCAGCAGCTCCATTTCCCATCCAGCTCCCTGCTTGTGGCCGGGGAAAGCAGTCAAGGACAGCCCAAAGCCTTGGGACTCTGCATCTGCATGGGAGACCAGGAAGAAGTTCCAGGCTCCTGGCTTCAGATCGACACAGCACCAGCTGTTGTGGTCACTTGGGGAGAGAATCACTGGATGGAAGATCTTCCTCTCTGTCTCTCCTCCTCTCTGTATATCTGACTTTGTAATAAAAATAAATAAATATTAAAAAAAACTGCGGAGTCAAAATATTTCAAAAACTCCACAGAAAAATGAAATGAATGCAAATCTTCATGGCCTTTTTAAACTATCTTTATATAATCATGCGTTTTAACTATAAACTGTGATATCAATCAAAAAGACACATCCTGTTGCACCTAAATTTACTTAGCCAAATCTACACGTGCTCACCTCCGTCTGGGACCAATGTGACACATAGTGGGACATATCAACAACTACTTATCTGAAACCTGAAGACAAAACTGACACGTTTAAGGTATCTTAGTCATTTCACTCAGTCACTAAATAGCTCTCAAAAACCCACACCAGGAAAGAAGCATTTTTTTCATCAAAGCAACTCAAAAGCTAAATGAACATGTTTGCAAAGTTCAAGAGAAATGAAGAGTACTGCTGAGTACATAGTGGTCAGATACACTTACGCTAAACTACAGAATCACATCTGTCTCAACCTTGTTGACAAAAGCATATTTTAACAACATTCCTCTAGCAATCCAAATTAAACTGTTTCCAATGGAAGAAATATGGCCTTAAGACTTTCAAATTACGTGCAATTTTTCAATAATAAAGTTTCTACAAATTCTTGTTCTCACTAAAAAGCTTGAAAATATTTCGAACTCGCTCCTTAAAAATCACTTCAAAGCCTAACTTTATTTTTAAAGATTTTTTTTTATTGCAAAGTCAGATATACAGAGAGAAGGAGACACAGAGAAGAAGATTTTCCATCCAATGATTCACTCCCCAAGTGACCACAACGGCCAGAGCTGAGCCGATCAAAAGCCAGGAGCCAGGAGCCTCTTCCGGGTCTCCCATGTGGGTACAGGATCCCAAGGCCTTGGGCCCTCCTGGACTGCTTTCCCCGGCCAGGAGCAAGGAGCTGGATGGGAGGCAGGGCCACTGGGATTAGAACCATCGCCTATATGGGATCCTGGGCATGGTCAAGGCGAGGACTTTAGCTGCTAGGCCACGCTACCAGGCCCTTCAAAGCCTAATTTTTTTTTAAGATTTATTTTTACTGGAAAGTCAGATATACATAGAGGAGGAGAGACAGAGAGGAAGAGCTTCCGTCTGATGATTCACTCCCCAAGTGACCACAATGGCCAGTGCTGTGCCAATCTGAAGCCAGGAGCCGTCAGGAACCCCCTCCAGGTCTCCCATGCTGCTACGCCACTGCACCAGGCCCCAAAGCCCAATTTTTAAAAAGATACTTTTAAAGCCAAAAGGTGAGAATTTGTATTATAAGTGAAAATTTCAGATTTATACCTTGTTTTCCAGCTTGTTACAAATTTATACAATATAGCCTAAATTGAGTATTTCAGCGGAAATATCTTAAATTTTTGTAAACTGTAAAACTTTGCAGAGGCTTTAATGACACCATTATGTTAATTTTCCCAAATACTTCCACGACAGACCTCAATTTTTTGGTTACTCATAGGATGTAAACCAGAAATTCTTTGTTGTTTATATGAAAGGCAGAGGACAGATTTCCCGACTGTCTTACTCCCCAGGTGCCCACCGCAGCCAGGGCAGGCTGGGTCAGGCATGCGGAAGCCAGGCGTCCTGAGTTCACGCTGGACCCCTCACATCGGAGACCCTGCCTCTCCAGCCATCACCTGCTGCCTGCTGGCAGGGCGCTGAAACACTGCAGCCAGGCCTAGGTCAGGGAAGTCCCCTCAAGGAGCCAGCCCTACAAAAGTTTGCCTTCATTGTACCCAAGTAATCTTTACCTCCTACTCCCAAAACTGCTTCTTACAGAGTTTTGTTTCATAGAGTTGAAATATTTACCAGGATCACGGTATAAAAATCCCTTACAAGGTAAATTTGTGTCACTATTTAGGAGGAACACTGAAAGCTTGGTATTCTGTCAGTTCACTGATAGAAACATAACTAACCCCACTACCAACAGAAGATGTGTATCATCTTAAAGTTGAAATTCTCAGCCAGAACTAATTTGTAACATGGTGACTTAAGTTAGTGCTTTCAGATGTTACCAATATGTGTGTGTATATACATATCCCCTGAACATATACAAATTGATCTTACTCTACTAATGAAGCCTTATGGATTCTAATTAACAAATTTCACTCAAAAAGGGAGTATGTGTCAATCAAGAACTTTATTAAAGAGACAAATACTCTAAAAGAACAAAGAGCAGGAATTAGTTTTTGTTGTAAGCCTATACTACTCCAACACAATTCAGAAAGACAATGTTCTAACATTTCAAAAAAGTTGTCTGCTCAAAGAATGCTTTTAACCAACAATACATTTTAAAAATTCTGAAGTATATTACAAAGTTTGCATGTGCAATGCAGAAAAAAAAAATTGTAACAACGTCCAAACAGGAAAGTTCCATGTGCTTTCTCCAAATATATATACCAGTATAACAGGTAGAGTGGACATTCCACAAACAAGATACAAGTTAATTATAGTGCTTCACACACCACGGTATGCATCCAAGGACACCTGGTAATTAACTGAAATAATTGAGAAACTCGGTACCAAAAGAGCTGTTCTGTGATTATGATGGGAAATGCTACCTGCAACAATACGCCTTCAAACTTGCAGAGAACTTTGTAATTTTCACGACACGTTATGATAAAAAAAATTTATAAAACTGGCTTTGTTGTTCCTCTTAGGAAATTAGCTCACAAGAACAACAACCTACCTACTTGAATCTAGAACCCATAAAACCAACCACCCCATATGACAAGAGCGTGCAGAAAAACTACGCAGCACTTCCAGTCACACTAACGTCGTGCGGACAGTGGGTGAGCAGGTTCACTCAGAATCCTCCGTCACAATTCTCAAAACTCTTTTTCACTTCACACACGAACATCTTTGGGATCTAGGTAGACTTGAGCGGCGTCCTGACACTGGGAGGAGGGGGAGGGGACGAGAAGGGAGGACCGGCTCAAACCTCCTCCTGGCAGGCAGGGAGCTGGTTCCACCTGTCCTGCCATAACGAGTTCATCTGCCCTCCAGCAGGGACGCCCAGGCTGCAACAGCAGCCAGCTTCCCAAGGGGCTCCGACGGCTCTCCCTCAGCTCCCAGCACAACAAAGCTTGAGGCCCAGCCTCGTCACCCCGTGTTCCACTCTGGCTAACCTGCATGCTCCGGTGAGCCCCAGCGCGCAACCTGGTAGCGCCCAAAGTGGAGGGCACAAGAATGCCCGAAACCCATCGGGAGCGGAGTACAGAAAACTGAGCAAACTCTCAAGTTACCGCCAGCAAAACGCAGTTCCTGTCAAGGAAGTGGTGGTCCCACCTTCCCGAGGGGCGGGGGCTCCCCGGGAAGAGGTGTGGAATTTCAGAAAGTAAGAACCCGAAATCGTAGGCGCGGGAGCAGAAAGGGGGGGGGGGGTCTCAGAATTGCCAGGAATTCGACAGGACCGGAGGGTCAGCGCTGAGGGGGCCAGCGGGCTGCCCGGTCCCAGGGGCGCAGATCTGGCTGAGGGTGGCGGCGCCCAACTGGGGTTCTCGTGCAAGGCTGCGAAGATCCCCCCACCAGCGTCCGCCCGCCCGCCAGGCTCCCCCGCGAGGTTTCAAACGGCCGCCCCCGTGAGGCGCTCAGCCGATTGGAAGTTCCACGGCGACCGTCACCAGTCCAGGGCCGGAGAGCGGCAACTCCGCTTCTCCCCCGAGAGACAGACCCCACGCACACCAACTCTCCCAACCTCCAGCCCAGGTCCCAGCTGGAGTCCCGGCGCCGGCTCCCCGGCACGCGGAGGGCGCACTCCGGGTCGGGACCGACCCCGACCCCCCAACCCCCCGATGGGGGCTGCGCCACGGGAGTTCCAAGGGGCCGCGCTAGGGGAGCGGCCAGAGCGGGTGAGCCCCAAGAGTCCGCCCCGGGACGCCAAGCGGGCGACCCCCTCCGCCTCGCCCGCCTCGGGGGGCCACGACGCGACCGGGCTCCGACCCACCCCATCCCGCGCGGGGTCGCGGGCAGGGCGAGGACCGGAGAGAGCTGACTCTCCCGTCCCTGCTCTTACCCATCTTTCCGCCTCGCCTTGTAGACGTGCCCGTAGGTGCCGCGTCCCACTTTGCACCCTTCGTACTCAAACAGATCCTCCACCCGCTCCCGCTCCGCCGCCAGCTTCGCCTTGAAATCATAATCCATTGTCTGCTTCCCCCATAGAGGCACCGGGACGCGGGGGCTGCCGCCGCTCAGTCCCTCCTCCTCCTCCTCCACCTCCTCCTCCTCCTCCTCCCCCCGCGACCGCCGCTCCACTTCTCCAACAGCCGCCTCTCGGGCGCGCGCGCGCCGCCCGCCGCTCCGCGTCCCGCCTTCAGCAAGGGACTCCACGGCGGCCGCGGCAACCACCCCCTCCACCACCTCCTCCAACTCCTCCTCCTCCTCCTCCTCCGCGGCGGCGGCGGCGGCGGCGGCGGCGGCTCCCGCAAGCACCCCCAGTCCCGCCTCCCCCCTTCATTTCCTTGTTTTGGAACCCGGTGGGCCGCGCCAAGGCTTCCTCCAGTTCATTAACAAGCCAGCCCGTCCGCCCCACCAGGACCGCGAGAGCTCCTGGGACATGTAGTTCCTCAAAACCCAGGGGCCGCGGAAGTTGGGCCGGCGCAAGAACTACAACTCCCAGAAGACCTTGGGACGTCACAGCCGCGCCTCCCCGCTTCCCACCCCCCCCCGCGGGCCAGGCGCGCACGCGTGCGCCCTGCGGCCCCCTCCTCCTCCTCAGGTAGCGCAGGCTCCCAGTTGCTGTGGAGGTAGAAAGCGCAAAGTTAACTGGGTGTTTCGGGAGTGTGTGGGAGCTGGTGTGAAGGCGGCCCTGGCTCTGCTAAGATGAGGTATTCTCCTGTAGTGTCCCCGCACGAGGAGGAGCGCGGGAAGCGTGTCGCCCGCGTTGGCCCCAGTGCGCGTGCCGGAGGGGCCCCGGAGGGAGGAACTGGTCAGGACAGTTGTAACGCAGATTGTTGTTTGTTTTCTGCGGCCGGCGGTCCGCCCCCGTCCCGCCCCCGACCCACTGCTCATTGGCGAAGACGGGAGAATGACACTCGCTCGGGTGCGTGGGGTCCCCGGACTCTAGCTGGCTGCTTTCCCGCTCCGGATTGGTAATTGCCGTAGGCTCGGTTCTTCCTGATAGGTTCGCCGTTTTTCTTTACGATGCAGAAACCGTATTTCAAAACCAGTGGAGTCAGCGGTTTCCTGGTTGTTACGTTACTAAGAAGAGGACTGAGGACTGGCAGCCAATCATGCTTTTCTTGGCGCCCTAGTCGGTTTCCTCAGAGCATGTGCGGCTCCCGTGAGCCAGGCTTTGGCCATCTGTCTTAAGGACAAAGTGCCCGGAAGATGCAGCGCTTTTACAAGCAATCACTGGGGTGCCCTCTTACGGGATTTTTTTAGGGCGGGGCGTTCCTAAAAAGGGATGACTGTTTAATCGGGTGAACATTGATTGATTATTTCCTTCAGTGTTGAGGCTCAGGATACACCACCCAGAAGTGTGATTGCTGGGGTTCAGAATATGCCCCCTAAAATATAGGACAGTCGAACATTATCGATTCAGCTGAGCTAAAAGAAATGAACCAGTTAAAAGCCCATCACCCACAACAGGCACAGGGCGAAAATAAAATGTAAAAATCCCCTCTAAAGAGAAATTTACATCAATTAAGGAACATTTTAAATATTTTTATTTTTTAAAGGCAGATTTGCAGAAAGATATTCCATCTTCATGTTCACTCCCCAAATGGCTGCAACAGCCAGAGCTGAACTGGTCCGAAACCAGGGACTTCTTCCAGGTCTCCCACTTGGGTGCAGGGTCCCAAGACTTTGGGCCATCATCCTCCATTGCTTTCCCAAGACACAAGCTGGATGGGAAGTGGAGCAGCAAGGTCACAAATTGGCACCCGTTTGGGATGCCAGTGCTTAAGATTTATTTATTTTTATTGGAAAGTAGGATACACGGAGAGGAGGAGAGACAGAGTGGAAGATCTTCCGTCCAATGATTCACTCCCCAAGCGGCCGCAACGGCTGGAGCTGAGCCAATCTGAAGCCAGGAGCCAGGAACCTCTTCTGTGTCTCCCGCACTGATGCAGGGTCTCAATCCTTTTGGCCGTCCTCAACTGCTTTCCCAGTCCACAGGCAGGGAGCTAGATGGGAAGCAGGGCTGCCAGGATTAGAACCAACACCAATATCGGATCCTGGCACCTTAAAGGCTAGGACTTTAACCATTATGCTATCTCGCCAGGCCCCAATTACAGAAAATTTGATTCGGCTAGGCATTAGTATTAGAAGGAGAGCTGTCCTTAAGACAGCTTTTACCTGCCTAATGAGCCAACCCCTCACCCTCTCCTGGGTTGTCTCCACCATCCCACCAGAGGTTCCAAACCCTCATTCCTTCCTGTCAATCAGGAACTGATCCTCCCTTGCGCTCCTGTTTTGTGGATCTGCTGTACATAGATACATCTCGAACACAGTATTTTTCCTGCTTCTCTGGTTTCTGTCCATTTCGTGGGTAGACCAGTCAAAGAAAGCGAGAGAGAACCCATTCCCCCCTCTCCTAACCTAGCATGGCAGGCCTGCGGACCCCAGTGGTGCATCCTGAAATGATTTGACCCAGAGTAGGATTTAACACACTTCAAAGAGCCCCAAGGAGGGACAGGTCAGTGCTACCTAAACAGATAGGGAATGTTAATGGTAAACTACTGAGGAAGTTAGAAGCAACCGGGCGGATTGTTTACAGATCCTCCCGTTCCTGGAAAATTTCTGGAAATTTTGAAGGTATCTTCAGTCAATGTGAGTTGCCGTTACAGAAAGGCACAATGATGAGCGCCGGAAATACCAGAATAAACTGGTCTTTTCCATTTAGGGAACTAAGCGTACTGAGTAAACAAGCATGTAAGCAAATTAAAAATAAACTGTGTGGGTACAAAGAACAGTGGTTGACTACGCAGAGTTCTGGCAACTTGGGGCAAACTTCATAGCAGAGGTAGAATTGAACCAAAATCTAAAGAATAAGTAAAGAAATGAGTGTGCAGTCCAGCAGAGTATCTTAGTCGTCTTCCCAGCTTGCCACTTCTGGCTCCAGTCTCCAGCTTTTTTTTTTTTTTTAAAGATTTGTTTTATTTTTATTACAGTCAGATATACAGAGAGGCGGAGAGAGAGAGAGGAAGTGGAGCTGCCTGGATTAGAAGCGACAACCATATGGGATCCCAGCGCGTTCAAGGCGAGGACCTTAGCCACTAAGCCACGCCGCCAGGCCCCAGTCTCAGCTTTTACAGACACTGGAGAAGCTGTGTCCAGACCCGGGTGGACACTGGGAAATAAACCACAAATTGTTCGAATGTGCTCTCTTTAACTCTCAAAAATGTTTACTGAGGGCCTGGCATAGTGGCTCAGTTGGCTAAATCCTCACCTTCCAAGCGCCAGGATCCCATATGGGCAACAGATTGTGTCCTGGCTGCTCCTTTACCCTTCCAGCTCTCTGCTTGTGGCCTGGAAAGGCAGTAGAGGATGGATTAAGCCTTGGGACTCTGCACCTGAATGGGAGACGCAGAACAAACTCCCAGATCCCAGCTTCAGATTGGCTCAGCTCCCGACATTGTGGCCATTTGGGGAGTGATCCAGCCCATGAAGGATCTTTCTCTCTGTCTCTCCTTTTCTCCATTTTCTGATCTTCCTTTTCAATCAAAATAAATACTATTTTGAACTGTATATTGAGAGACAGAAAATGAGTAGGCCCTCACCTGAAGGGTAAATGCAACAGAAAGACAGGAAATGTTTCAGGCAGAGCAAAATGCACACATGTTACAAGAACTTGATGTATTTTGAGAAATGTAACTAAATTAGGTGGGACAGATTAAGGCTCAGAAAGGGAATAGATAAGAAAAGACTGAACAGATAAGCAGAGGTCATATAACAAAACTGTATATGCCAACATAGTCTGTAGGCAACAGAAAGCCATTACAGACTTTTGAGATATAGAATTAAGGAGAAACATAAGCAGTTTGGGATAAAGATACCCCAAGGTCATGGACTATGAAATTCAAAGATAAGTATATGGGTACCAGCACCATGGCTCAGCTGGGATGCCATATTCCATATTAGAGTCTCAGTTCAAGTCCCAGCTGCTCAGATTCCAGTGCAACTATCTGTCTAATGCACCTAGGAAAGCAGCAAATAATGATGCAACTGCTTGAGTCCCTAAAACTAACATGGAGGACTTAGGTTGAGTTCTGTATACTGGCTTGCTGTTGTGACCATTTGTAGGAGTGTACCAGCAATTAGATATGTTACTCTACTGTCACTGTGCTTCCAAGTGAAATAAATAAACTTTAAAAAATATGTTCATTATAGTGAAGGGGTTTTTTTTTAAGATTTATTTATTTGTACTACAAAGTCAGATATACAGAGAGGAGAAAAGACAGCGAGGAAGATCTTCCATCCAAGGACTCTTTCCCCAAGTGACCACAACAGCCAGTGCTATGCCAATCCGAAGCCAGGAGCCAGGAACTTCCTCCAGGTCTCCCATGCAGGTGCAGAGTCCCAAGGCTTTGGGCCTTCCTCAACTGCTTTCCCAGGCTACAAGCTGGATGGCAGCTGGATGGGAAATGGAGCTGCCAGGATTAGAGCCAGCGCCCATACGGGATCCCAGCGTGTTCAAGGTGAGGACTTTAGCTGCTAGGCCACGGCACCAAGCCCAGGACGTTTTTTTTATGATGATGTTACACTTATTTGGTTAGGTTGGGAAGGGTCAAGAGTTGGAAGAAGTGGGTGAGGCCATCATTTCCACATTTTCTTTTTTCTTCTTACTATATCAGGAAAAATGGAGGGGGCGGGGTTTGGGGAGAAGAGTAAAAGCCACGCCCAGGCTCCCAACCGCCACAGTTCCCAGAATTGGGGAATGGCCACCTGATATTATCCCAAGGGTCCTGATGTGTATCATATTCCTAGGGTCCTGATCAAATGTTTTTGCTAGTTCAATAGTTCTGAATTGTTGTGAGTCTCACAACTCCAAAGATGAAAAAATCACTCCAAGGTCCAATGGCTGACATAGTCCACCTTAGCGTCTCCATTTGCCCAGATATTCCCTACCAACACTTGGCTGGGGTAGTTGACCAATTTCTTCTGCCCTCCTTCCTCTATTAAGGTACCAAGTGTCCTCTGTAGGCTCCAATGGGCTGCCATATCCTCCATGTGTATCTGGGTATGCCATGTGCAT